AGTTGGGCGAGGTGGCGGCGGTGCAGCCCAGGTAGGTGTTGAAGGTGTAGTAGGGGCGGATGGCCATCTCCACCCGCCTGGCCAGCTTTTTCACTGTGGGGGTGGGCAGCTCTGGCAGGGAGCTGGGGTTGATGAAGAAGTACAGGGGCAGCCCTGAGCGGTCCAGAGCCACCAGCTGGTTCCTGATCCCCTCCTGCCAGGTCTTGAGGGTGATGCCTGGGTAAAAGGGGGTCCCACCAATGCTCTCCACCCTGGAGTTGGTGCGGTTCTCCAGATACTGCTTGACAAAGCTAGCGCTGACGTCCAGGGACTCCTCGCTTTTCACGCCGATGATGCTGTGAAAGGCCACACCGGCCGAGGCAGTGACGGCACTCCGGGTGGCCCAGCTGTCCTTCAGGAAGGTTGCCTTGATCTGGTCTTCCTGCACCAAGCTGGCTCCAGCGTCCACAGAGGTGATGGTGTGGGTGCCGTAGTTCAGCACCAGCACCTCAGCCAGAAAGTCAGCCATCCGTGTCTGGTTGTTTTCCAGGTGGCTGGCGATCGTCAGCAGCTGCTTCCTGAAGCCCTTGTCCAGGACTGCCCCTGGGTCAACCTTGGCAGTGTACACTAGGTTCCTGACTTGCACGCGGGTCGTGACAGCGTGGTCTTTCACTTGGTGGGTCTTGGTCCGGTGGAAGTCGTGGGAGAACTTGCCGTTGATAGAGGAGAAGAGGGACAGCTCTAGGTTGACGGAGGCGGAGGTGATGCTTTGGTAATCTTTCCAGGACTCAATAATCTCAGAGTTGATGTCCAGGTTGCTCTGCTTGCGAGGGATAGTGAAGATCTCATCTGGGATGATGTAAGATCCGTCTTCGGTGGTCTTGCAGAGCGAGTAGCCCAGGTTGATGACTCTGCCCATATCCAAATTCCGAAGGTTATCCCAGCCCCCCCCAGGCAGGACTTCCAGACTCGGGAGCTTCAGGGCCTTCCTGCACTCCAGAAACGCGGCAGAGGAGGGCAGCTCCTGGGGCTGCTCGGCCCCTCTCACCCGTGCCACCGAGGCCCAGGCGAGCAGGACCCCCCACAGCACCCAGCCCATGGCGGACGTCTGCGCGGTGAGGCTGGAGCTGGGGAAATGAGCTGGCTGGGGCGCAGCTGCTGGGTGGTTCCTCCTTTTGGGGGTCGAATTAACAAAAGGGAAAGGAGAAGTGAGAACTGATGAATGTGAGAAACAACTGAGTGGGGTGGAAAGCAGAGGTGCCCCAAGCCCATGGCCTCCCCGTTGTGAAACCGCCCTCTCCCCGTGAAAGCCGCTCTGCTGGGGACGGGGCAGAGAGGAATCTCGCCTTCGGCTCCTCGCCGTGCCCAGGGAATTTCGCTGTGTGAACCTCCCTTGGCCAGCACTCAGGTGAATCCCCACTGGCCCGGGGTGGCCCTGGCTCCTTTGTGCCGTGCAAGGACCTGTCCCAGCTCCATGGCCCCGGGGTCCCGCTGACATGACGGGGTGACACCTGGCCCCGGTCTCACGGGCTCTGCTGCTGACCCCGAGGTGGTGCAGCGTGATCTCAGCACGGGGGGCAGCGTCATGCTTGTCTACCCCTGTCTGACTTGGGGAAGAGGCTGCCCGAGACCCCGGGGTGGCACTGGTGGGTTCAGAGGTTCCCGACGTGGGGGCCAGCCCATGGCACAGGTGTCCCCCCTTGTACCAACATCTGCATTAGGGCCCTCTGCAGCCTCCTCTGCCCCATCCCTGTCCCCCCCTCAGGGCCCGCAGTGGGGAAAGCACCTCCTGCTCAGGACTGCTGAGCCTTGGGAAGGTGGTCCCGGTGGCACGGAGCTGGCTCTGCCCAGGGATGCTGGCGTGGGGCTGGGCCCGGGTTTCAGCCGCGCAGGACAGCTGCTGTGCCTTTTGGAGAACAAACAGTTAAAGCAGCTTCTGCTGCGACATCCCTGTCCCCCCCTCAGGGCCCGCAGTGGGGAAAGCACCTCCTGCTCAGGACTGCTGAGCCTTGGGAAGGTGGTCCCGGTGGCACGGAGCTGGCTCTGCCCAGGGATGCTGGCGTGGGGCTGGGCCCGGGTTTCAGCCGCGCAGGACAGCTGCTGTGCCTTTTGGAGAACAAACAGTTAAAGCAGCTTCTGCTGCGAAACCTGTGAGTCTTTCCATATGGACAGGCTC